TGAAGTATAATAGACACGTGTATTTGTTTGTGATTAAATAGACATTTGAGTGTTATAATTTATGAAAATTTCCAACAGAACGAATCGCGAAACGTGACGACTACTCAAAGAAGATACAATTTCTCTTCTGGCAAGAAATATATATACATACAATATATTTACACGGCTCAGAGATTTGAACATTTCATTCGTAACGGATACAATGGGTAGTTTTTGAATGAACGTATATTCGAATATTCTCTGATAAGGTACCTAAAAATCATAACGAAAATGCTGGGCATCAGCATTGGGCATATCCACCAGCGAACCAAAAAAGACGTTTGCCGGAATGTGCTCATCGATCTTTGGAGAGTCCTACAGATCAGCCACCGAACCGTCGCCTTTTTTCGCCAAGCACAAATCCTTGATTATCAAGCCGAGAAGCTTCAACTCTTCTGAAACGAAACCTTTCACTTCTGAAACGGAAGCGTTTCAGTTCATTGATTAATCAGCATATTATTATTGATTACAGATTATTCAATCAGTTATAAACATGTTTTGATAATAATAATCAGTTTTTAGCTGCTAACGAAACTTATCGATAAAAATGTTTTTTGGTTAGTGAAGGGAAAAATTGTTTTCTTTTAGAATTAGAGCACCTTCTGCATCAGCCTTTTGCACTTTAAAATCAGCATGCTCTTCGGACTGCAATGTCGAACTGTCCTTTGGTTTCACTTCTTCAAAGTACTTTTGCATTGCCGTTTCGAATGATTGATGCCCTTTGGTATAGGTCACTGCAAAATAAAGCAGTTTCACATCGACACAGCTCATAAGGAGAACATTATAAAGGACATGTGACATCGCCTAGCATTCATTCGAGTTGAACTTGTTATTTGAGAATATCGATGTGAAACGTGAATGAATGTGTTCTTGATGATTGCAAATGTAAAACTGAACGAAGAAAACTTACAATAGTTAGCTAATCGTTTATCGGAATCCGAATGCAGATAGACCTTATAATCAAGTTGATTTCTGAGTTTGTGACTGTGGAAAAACGACGAACCCTGCACCATAATAACATCAGCAGTTATCGATTCCATTGCCTGCTCATGGATTCGCTCTAAAAGTGCATTCATCAATTTAATTAAAACAATTAGCGGTAAGCAAACAAATAAAAATTTACGAACTATCTTATTTTGAGAGGGCCTAGCAATTGAACTTATTGATTACTTGTTTTTTTACTCACAATATTTGTCTCCTTGAATGAGAAAATAAGCTGTCTGTGAGTGATAAGAAGCGAAATAATCGCC